TGGATTATGATCTTAATAACGAAAATAAAGAAGTCTTTTTTTTAATATGCATTTTATTTTAAATCTATTTTATATTAAATAACGATAAACAATGATAAATAATAATTAATATTTGGTGGAAGCCCCATTCTTGTCAATACAATTTTGCAGTCTTCTGTTCATAGATAGCACCAATCCCCTCATGTTATAGTTAACAAGCTCTTCCCATGCCTGCTCAATTGCTTCCCATAATTCAATTCTATTCCGTGGTCTAAGGTTTCTTTCATTTAGTTTCTTTGTTAACTCTGCCCACACATTTTCGACGGGGTTAAAGTCTGCACTACGGGAAGGCCACGGAAGAACATTAACATCAGTTTCTTCTAGCCATTCTCGAACAATTCTACTCGTATGCACCGGGCAATTGTCATGTTGGAAGATAAAGTCGTTGTTGGGGAATCTCTGGATCACCGATGGCAACATTGTGTGCTCAATAATATGTTTGTAATATAATCCTGCTAACTTCTCCTCTACATGATAACAAACGCCCGGGCCTTCGGCACTTATCCATCCCCATACGTTGACAGAGAATCCTCCACTATTTCTTAAATGATGCGTATACTGTTCATCATACCTATGATTTCTCGGCCTATAACCTCTTATTCGACCATTATTATACGACTGAAATACTTTTTCATCGGAAAATACAACCCTAGACCAAAAATTCTCATCGCGGTTTATAAATTCATTACAAAATTCAACTCGTCTCCTCTTGTGATCCTCAGTCAAAAAAGGTTTCCGTGCAGCTACACAATTTAGCAGTCCACTTGCTTTCATTCTTCGACGTGCAGTGCGAATACTGCCTGGAAACGCTGCCTCTTCTCTTGCCTTTTGAGCTGTGGCAAAAGAATATTCTCTCAAATAATCTACTAACATCTCATCCTGTTGATCTGTGGAAATCTTCTGCCCTCCTGAACCGCCCAACCGTGCTATAGAGTGAAAATTATCCCATCTTTGTTTAATCTTCCATATGCACATATGACTCACGTTCAAATCAGCAGCAACTTGCCTTAGTGACCAACCTTCTTCGAGTTTGGCAATTGCTCTTGCTTTTTGCGCATAATTCAAATGTATTCTAACCATTTTGGAAGAGTTTAATATACTTTTATTTTATTGTTGAACACTCGCGAAAGCATTGACGTTTTGAAATTTTTTGACTTTGACATTTATCAAATCCGTACGACACTGCAATTTTACAGTATTACAATATAAAAAGTAAGGTGTAAACTATTCCGTGACCGCAACTGTACCTTGTATCAATAGTTATACTCGGTTCGATATTCCCAGTCCGAACTATCTAGGGAATTTAGTATTTATTTTTTTGCGAAGTTAGTTACTTTTTTATAGACTAAAAGTGGCTGGAAATTACTATACAACCAAGCTCACGTATTCATAGCCAATATTAATAGTAAACTAACTAAATAATAAATAAAATAGAACTTTGCGAATTACCGACAATCAATATTTAGTTTAACTGCATCATCTAATAAATAGTTATGTTAAATTATAACAACTAAAATATAAGTTTTAAATATAAACTACCCAAAATTTGATAGGTTTAGTATACACTTCCACTATTTAGAATAATTCTTCTTTTTTCAAAGAAAGAAGCCTTCAATAGTAGTTTACTTGAGCTGTTAATACTAAGAAGTAGAAATTGCTTGTAGGTTTCCGACAATGAATCTGTCAAAATATGCTCGAGATAAGCGAATGGAGTATACGATATGCGCTAGTGGAAAATCTTGTGCTCAAGTTTTTATTTAAAAAATCTGAAAAATATCAAAAAGTTTTGTTTTTGAGCCCTATTTTTGCATTTTAAACCTGTATTATTGCCGAAACAAAGACATATTTTTTTTACTCATGACAAACTCATGACAATGACTTATATCTTAGAGAACCCAAACAAAACCAAATAAAAGTAATTAAGTTGATGCTTTCTGCTCTTTTTTGCTAGCTTCTACTACAGCTTCACTTTCTTTCATACTCAATTCATGATTCATGATCAAATGATCAAAATTTTAAGCGGCAAGGAAGTGAAGGAACTGATTTCAGAGTATGAAAAAAGTGAAGCTGCAGTAGAATTTTAGCTGCAGCTTAATTACTTTTATTTGGTTTGGTAGGTTCTCTAAATTATAAGTCATTGTCATAATGAATTAATGAATAAACGATTTTTATTAAGACATATTGCTCCTTTTAAAATGTAACAATTTTGTTTGTCAATTTTACATAATATTTGACTGGCTAGAAATTGAAAATTCAGTGTTTATTGTTAAAAAAATAGCAATAATTGGAAAAAAAATTGAGCTTCTTTTTAATTTTTTTTTATTTCGTAAATATAGTCTCCAGCGTTTATTTTCTGCCTAGAAAAACATTATTATACGACTGAAACGTGTGCTAAATTTCGTTAGGATTGATTTATGCAAACAAACAAAAAGCTACAGCTTCCCGACTAAAGGACAGACAAACATTGAAACGTTTAAAACAAATAAGTTAATGAGAATGAATAACAGAAGTAAAATGTACAATGTATGTTATAACAGCATGTCTTGCAAAACAAGAAACGTAAAAATGTATATCGGTGGAAGGCAACCGTATATAAATATTTCTGACTATTGGTCGTCTTCAGTACGGTGCAGACAAGTTAGAAAAAGTCAGCCAAAAAAAATTGACAAAAGTCATTTTATTTTTTATAACATTTTTATAACAACTCGATAACATTTTCAAATATTCGAAATTTTCAAAGGAAATCATAATAGTACCCATCCACAAAAAAGAGGACAAAACAAAATGCGCGAAATATAGAGGAATCTCACTTCTAAACACGACATATAAAACCCTCTCAAACATCATTCTTAGTAGACTAATCCCTTATGCTGAAAGTGTCCTAGGCGAATATCAAGCCGGGTTTAGGGCAAGTATATTATATAGGATGAGAGTATAACAGACCCATACACAATCTCTTTATAGACTTTCGACAGGCATATGATAGCGTAGAAAGAATCCATGTATTGAATGCCATGGCGGAGTTCTCAATACCAAAGAAACTCAGTCGGATGACCAAAGTCTTTATGGAGGGTGGAATATCTAAAGTACGTGTAAATAATAAACTGTCTGACAGCTTTAAAATCAACAGTGGACTTAAATAGGGTGATGCGTTATCTCCACTACTTTTTAACCTTGTATTAGAGAAAGCCATGAGGTCGGTCGAAATAAAAACACAATTGCTATCGGTTCAAGGTCCCAAGCTGTTACTCGCATATGCAAATGACATAGATCTCGTTGGAGACTCCACCCTATCCACAAAAGACATTTTCAACAAGGTAAAAGGGGCAACAAGTGAAGTAGGGCTGAAGATTAATGAAGAGAAGACGAAATATATGTGTATAAATAGAACGACACGAAGAGACAGAATAGGACAAAATGTGACGATCAACATCTTTAATTTCAAAAGAGTACAACGTTTTAAGTATCTGGGTGCCGTAATCACAGCTGACAACGATGTCACTGAAGAAATAAAAGACAGAATCCAATCTGCAAACCGCTGTCTATTTGCACTGGATAAGCTCATAAAATCAAAAAATTTTACAAGAAGTTAAAAGATCAAAATCTATAAATCCATCGTCAGACCTGTAATAACATACGGATGCGAAACAGAGACCAAGAAAAACTCAGACGCTTTGAACGAAAAATAATTAGAAAAAATTTCGGATCTTACCATGACATCACCACAAACCAGTATAAGATCAGAACCAATATCGATTTAAAAGCACTCTACAGCGACGCCGATATTGTCCAAGATTGTATTGTCCAAGAAATTAAATCACAGCGACCAAGATGGGCAGGCCACGTGCACAGACTACAGGGAGAAGATTACCACAGGCAAAAGACCACGCGGACGTCCCAGAATGCGATATAGAGATAACATCCAAGCAGATCTCCGGAAAATAAACATTTCATTTGACCCTAGGTTGATGGAAGACCGAACAATTCGGAAAAAAGTTGTACAATCAGCCAAGACCCACCCAGGGTTGTAGCGCTACGTGATGATGATGAAATATTCAAAATAAGTCCTTAGACTTATTTTCAAAAATAAGTCCAAGGTTCAAAGTCCACTTAAATATTGAACTTTAAACCTACCCACTTTATTGTAATCTTGACTGTTTGTAATTTAGTTAATTGTAAATTGTATATTATGTCCTCCCGCTAATAACTCCAAGTAGTTGATGCGGTTAATAAAGAAAAAAAAACGAATTGTAAAAATAACATTTTTATTTTCATTATAATGACTTCATTAACAATGTAGCTATCTTCATGTCTATTTACTATTTTTACTTTTTCAGTAAATGGCTGGAGTTCAATTTGCCGTTGAGGATAAATTTTTTATGATTCTAAATCCAGTTTAATGAAATATAATAGGTTTGTTCTAGTGGTTTCTATTCCGTGTGGTTTTGTTGTTTTCTTTTATGAGTTAAAAGACAAACACTATAACAACGAGGAAATGCACTGAATCTCCTATAGTCGGACAGCATCTTGACATTAGTGATATTAATGTTTTACCTACTAAAAGTGACGTACTGAGGTATTTTGAATGGGTGAGAAATCAGTTGAAATCTGAAGGATGCTACCAACCACAGAAAAAGTTAATTGCAATGCGAGTGACACATAAGTTAGAGCAAATTTGGAAAAAATCATCAATACCTGTTTCATCTACTAACAATATTGTTTTTATGATTCTACAATTGCATGAGAGATGTGAAAAGATTAAAAAATCTTCAGGTTGTAATACAAAAAATGCCAAGAGTTTTAAAGTTGCAGTTGAAAAGTTTAGATCTGACATTGATAATAGTCTTTTTGATATTTGTTTATGCTAATGTAGTGAACTAGACAAATGTTTGTGCCCAGCTTCAAGAAAAGTACCAAAATTAGAATATGGATTCTAGACAGACCAACGGAACTTGAGGAGGATGATTAGCGGAGGTATTGACCAAGCAGAGACTAAAAAAATTGAAAAACGAAACAAACGGAAGGAAAAGTCCCTGCAATCTAAATTAAGCAGGAATGTGGAACTAACCACTCCACCTGATTTAATAAATGTGGATATTCTTAGTAGTGACTCTGATGATGAATCCATGGAAGAAGAATCAAGTAGGTCTGATGAAAAAGTTCAAGGTTCTAAAATAACTCCTCTAAGAAACAAAATTGAAAGTCCAAGCGTGATAGTAAAATAAGGCCTGCTAGTGAATATATCATTATTTTCTAGGGCATGTGATTGCAGAGGCATTTCAAACAGAGCAGGTGCTCAACTAGCAAGTCCTCTTCTAAAGAATTTGAATGTCACATCACCAGAAAACCAAGCCGCAGTTATTGACAAGTACAAGATTTTTCGTGAAAGGTTAAAGTACCGCCGAAGTATTAATTCAACTCGCATAAACGAAATAATTGCTCTTTACTTCGATGGTAGGAAGGATGAAACCATAATCAAAGAAATTATACGTGGGAAATCTATCCGTAAAACCATACAAGAAGAACACATATCTTTGGTCGAGGAACCAGTTTCAGCATATTTCGGTCATGCAACTCCAGACAGTGAATCTGGGAAAGATATAGTATCATCAATATTAAGTTACATGAGTGATAATTCCATTGATAACTCAAATATCAAAGCGCTTGGATGCGTACGTGATGGTACGGCAACGAATACTGGAGCATCGCAAGGAGCAGTTTTGTTGTTTGAACGCGCATTGAAACATCCGGTCCAAGTAGTAATATGTAAGTTGTACTTAAACGAATTGCATCTGAGGAAAGTTTTTGCTGCTCTTAACTGTCCAACCACGGGACCAACATCACTGAGTGGGACAATAGGCAAAGGTTTGACCAACTGTCAAGACTTTCCGGTTGTTAATTATGACAAAATAGATAGCACCTTCCCAGAAGTCGATAGTACAGACTTAAGTACGGACCAGAAATACCTTTGGGATATATGTCAGGCTGTAGTCAAAGGTGAATGTTCCTCTGAGTTGGCCAGTAGAAACCCCGGAAACTTGTCCCACGCCCGGTGGCTGACATTAGCAAATATAATCTTTGCTTTGTTTACCATAAAATGTCGTCCTAAAATTATACACCCATCACAACATTTTTTCTTCATCGTACAGTGCACCAAGTTTTTAGACAGTGAACTAAAGACTGTGGCTCAGTTTTCTTTGCAAAGAAACGCCTCTATGGCTCATCCTGAACACATCCTTTTATGAATGTTGTTTGAGTCTCGAAAACATATAAGAGCTTTGGCAGGCAAACGGATAGAAAAAGCTCGACAGACAGAAACAAGGGCACATCGAGTCTTTAAACCACCACAAATTAATTTTGAGGCAGAAGACTACATCGATTTCATTGACTGGCAATCCACCACAGTTACAGAACCACCATTTATAGCTGTCTTCAGCAAAGAAGAGATTGACATGATTGTTAATTCAGGAAGCAGTGATAGAAAAGAGTTCAAAATACCACTTCACACTCAAGCGGTAGAACGAGTTGTAAAGGAAGTTACTGCAGCTTCTAAGCATGTTTGTGGCGTACAAGAATGAGAAGGCTTTATAAGATCAAGATTATTGGACAGAAAGTATCTTCCTAAGTTTGAAACTAAGCGACAGTACACATCTGCTACAGGTGTATTGCAAAAATAAATTACAGGTAAGATTTATTTCATACTTATTTAGGATTAAATCACAGCATTCTATTTTGAATAGTAACTTAGCATTAGTACTATAATTACAATCTGACACTCGCCCTAACAAATTCCCTTGGTTCTAGATCAAAGAAGCATTACAATACCTGTGGCTTTATAAGCTAACTGGATTTGTTTAGCCAACGTCCTTCAAGATGAAATAAAGAACCATTTTAAAGATTTTTCTTTATCAACTTTTTATCTGTAATCTTTAAGTAAACTTTTGTATTTCTTTAATAAATTTCGTACCTCAAAAACAATCTTTTATTATTTTAACATAAAATATCCTAACGTTTAAATAAGTAAATATGTAATTTATTGTTATATATATCTATATATATATATATATATATATATATATATATATATATATATATATATATATATATAGATATATATATATATATATATATATAGATATATATATATATTTACGGCATAAAGTGGACTCCGCCCATGTTAAAATTCAGGTTCAGGTGAGCTCCGTGGTCAAGTGGACACCGATATACGGAGCTCACTTGACCATTCCATAATATTGGCTCTGTCGATTCGTCAACATGTATAGTTTCATAATTTTTAAAAAAAATTTTGGAGCCCATAATTATCCCTGTATCATAAATGTATATCGCTTAGTTCACGTGTATATATTATAGGGGTCGTTCAGATCTTTTTCACTGTATATTGGAACCATACGTATATCGGTTTAAGTAAGCTCTGATAGTTTGGCAACTCTGCTATAAGATGTATAATTCTCGCGTAAAGTCTGGACGGTTTATATGGACTCCTTAGTTTTGCTATCATTCATACGCATTACAGTGTGCAACAGATATGTATACTATTAACTACCTGTTTTTAGTAGGTACAAGTTCTCTAAAAATAGCTTTATAGATACAAAAGGATTTCATTACCAAATTGGATTTTGTTTCATATGCGGAAATTTCCTAATGTATTTTGTTAACGTGAATATGTCTTCATAAGTTTTATTTAAGAATCCGATTAATAAGAACTTCTTTTATTTCATCCATTGTTTTATGATATCTTGTATACAGCTTTTTTTATTATTTTATTTCTGGTTTTATCTATATACTACATATAAGTTTGGATAAAAGGTTATCTCAAAATAAATATTTAAGTGCTAAAATAGATATTTTTGTGTAAAAATGGGTAGTAGTGCACAAAAAAAAAGAAAGAATTTATCTAACAAGTATTATACCACTTCTCCAATATTACATACTTCTGATGTTTTATTTTCTATTTAGGGGTAATATGTTATTAATATAAGTGGAGTTAGTTTCAAATTTGCAATGATCTTTATAAGTAAAAGCTTACTGGCTATACTTAACATGTTTAGTTCAAATAAGTAAACCTTGTCCCTTCAGAAAAGAGCGATTTGAATGGAAAAGTCAACTAAGAAAGTGTGATGAATCTTATACCACCCCACATTCACACAGGTTAACCGGTGTTTGCAGGCAAGAGTCCTCCAGTCAAATTTAAGGAAGATAACAACCATAAGAAAGTTAAGCAGCTTATATTTTTTTTGTATATCTTGCAGATGTGATGATCTGATGACTGACTAATTTATAGCTAAATATACTTACGTGTTAAGTATGTGTTTTTGTCACCCATACTAGCAAGGTATATTCGGCAGCATAAGCATAGAGTTTAAGTCTACGTTTTAAGGGTGGAAGAATGTGCTTGCTATTTTGAGCTGACAAGTTTGCGGAGAATATTATTTTTCTGGTTCTAGGTTGCCATTTGGTTTTAAACAAAGTTCTCTGATAGAAACTATCTTCAAGGTATTTATAGCAAGTCCAGAGTTTAAGGATTTCATGACACTATTGGTTCAGGTATATCTTCAGATTTGTGAAAGCGTCTCTATTAGGGACATTTCCGGGGTTTGGCTTAAAATTGATTTCTATTCTATTTTTATTATTTCTAATCCTATTCCTATTACTACTTAAAACTAAACATTTGTCATCATTGTCCGGTTTATTTAGTAATTCTTCTTTCTCTACTCGTTGCTTGGCCTCTCCTTGGTTCTTTTTATGTTGCTCTGGTAGTTTTTTGAACACGCTATTTCCAACACCTTTTCTTCTTTATAGCACCATCTCCATTCCCTGCCGTCCACTGTGATTTTATTGTATCCTATTTTGACCATTTTTCCATTTTCCCTCATTTCTCTTGCTTTATCTCTTAAAGCTTCCATTTTCTCTCTCTCTCCTTTTGTGAGATCCTCTGTAATCCATATTTTTTCGATCTTCACATTCTTAAGTTTGTATTTGTTTGTATTTTGTCTTAAGATTGTTGTTTTTTCTTCTTCGCTTTCAAGTTCAATTAAGCATGTTTTTGTTCCTATTTTTTGTGCTCTTTTAATATTGGTTTTGACTCCAAGATGATTTTCTAATATAGTAGTCGTTCCCTCTTTCAATGTTTTTGGGTCTTCAGAGTCTATTTTTGATCCACTGATGATTATATTCTTTTTTCTTTGTCTTACCTTTCTAATGAGCGTTTTAGATCATTTAATTCATCCGTTATCTTTTTGTTATCGGTTTTGGTTAGTTCGTTTTCTCTTTTCAGTTCTTCTTTGTCTTTTGTCCATTCTTCCTTCACCCTTTCTATTTCCAATTTTATACTTTTTATTTTTTCGTTATTTTGTTTTATCTCTTCTTTAACTTCATTTATACAAGGTGGTCCAGAATTATGTACATTAATTTCTAGAGCTCATAGTACGTCCAAAAATAAGGGTACTTCTTTATGTACACTTTTTTATAAAACTAAATAATAAGGGAGATACAACCCTTTAAAAGGGTGAATTGAAATTCTTATTTTTTCAAATATCTTCCAAACGGTTTTGAATACGGAGTTCATATTTTGGGAGTGATTAGAAGACATTAGGATAATTAATTTCATGTCACCACCTACCACATCCTATATTAATACAGGGTAGTTTTGGAGGGTAAGTGGAGGTTATTGCGTCACATGTTTTTTAATTTTTACATATTTTAAAAAAATATTTTAAAAATTGTTTCCTTAGACTTTTCTACGCAAAAAAGGTGCTCTTGTAATATTTCGATAGATGTCACCGTTTTCGATTTATTTAAATTCGAAGGTATACATGTATTTTATTGTAATCGTTACATTTCTTAATATTCATCAAGTATGCTTTGGAATTGACACTTGTGTTAGCAACAACACTTTAATCTCAAGTAGTCTATGAATTGTCAGTGATGTTAAATATCAACTAAATTATTTTATCTACACTTTTATTGTACTCGTCAGTGAAATTTTGTTTAACACGTGTCTTTTGCTATATTTTTAAATTTGTTTGCCCGCAATATGAGACACTATTCAAATAGGTCTAGGAATTCAAATAGGAATATAGATGCGTGTCGTCATAGAGAAGCAAGAAATGTTCGCGTTGAACAGCAAATATTGGATGCTGTAATAAATGACCCCACAATAAGTACACGCAGGTTAGGATTAAGAACGAATATTTCCCATCAAAGTGTTTTAAGAGTTCCGCATGAAGAGCAATTACATCCTTACCACTATCGACAGGTGCAGAAATTGTTACCTGGCGATATGCCACTTAGAGGTGATATTTGTGAAGTATTGCAAAATAAAGTTCAAACTGCACCAAATTTTTTAAGCAAAATTCTGTTTGCAGACGAGGCCACATTTACAAGACAAGGTATGTTCAATTCTAGAAATATGCACTTCTGGGCTGAAGAAAATCCAAGGGCTACAATGGAAACTCACTTTCAACACACGTTCAAGATAAACGTTTGGGCAGCTACTTTAGGAAATAGTTTCATATGATACCCCATCTTTCCCGGAAATTTAAATGGTAACATGTATTACAATTTTCTAGACAATATTTTACATGATATTTTGGAAGATATTCCATTACACATACGAAGAAACATGTTTTTCATGCATGATGGTGCTACACCACATTACACAAGAATTTGTAGAAGGTGGTTACATGAACATTTCCCTGATAGGTGGATAGGCCGGGGTGCGGATGCACCGCTTCATTGGCCTGCTCGTAGTTGTGATCTTAATCCAATGGACTTTACAGTATGAAGTTATTTGAAATCAAAAGTATATAGCACTCCAATTAATACAGTAAATGAATTGAGAGATAAAAATTGAACAAGTATTTACCGATATACAAAACGATCCAGTAACATTAAATGGATTAATGCGTTCGCTAAATAAAAGAATTTGATTATGTATTCAACAAAATGGAGGACATTTTGAACAGTTGTTGTGAAATATTATTTTCGCTATTAATTAAATGTTAAGTATTAATTAAGTTTTTCATTAATTTGTAATATTATTGCTAACACAAGTGTCAATTCCAAAGCATACTTGATGAATATTAAGAAATGTAACGATTACAATAAAATACATGTATACCTTCGAGTTTAAATAAATCGAAAACGGTGATATCTATCGAAATATTACAAGAGCGCCTTTTTTGCGTAGAAATGTCTAAGGAAACAATTTTTAAAATATTTTTTT